TGTGTGTCTGTCTGTCTGTTCGTTTATATATTGGATCGGATTTCCTACATTTTTCAACCGATTTCAACAAAACTTCGCAGGACTACGTAAAATTACCTTGCGGTGGTTCTGACAGTGCCAAAAATTGGAAAAACACAATGAAAGCGGGACAACTCATGTGTGTGTGTGTGTGTGTGTGTGTGTGTGTGTGTGTTCGTTTATATATGGGATCGGATTTCCTACATTTTTCAACCGATTTCAACAAAACATCATTTTTTTTTTTTTGCAGGTAGTGTTTCTTATTGTCTTGCACACTTTTTTTCTTTATTTTTACATTCAGAATGCTTTAAAAATTCCATTTACAAGAAAAATTGTTTATAATAAAATTCTATTCAATCGGTAGACTCATAACGATTGAAAACAATGTTTTTGTTTGAGTTTGGGTTCGACCAATTCGTAAAAAAAAAATAAAAATAAAAAAAAATAATTAAGACATGCGTGTCCGTCAACCAATAAACAATAATCTTTGTCAATTTTATTTTTCAGTCTTTATGATGGTCGATACTTGATCTATCTCTTACTGTTACATCCCCGGGCAACGCCGGGCTCTCCTGCTAGTCTATTATAAAATCAACCCATCTAACGTAGCCGCCAGTCTCATATTCTCTGACTTCCAAATAAATTTTCGTCAATTTTTCACATTCCTACCGGCTTACTAGAGGATTTTACTGCTTCTTCGTAATACTGAAATAGTTTATGTTATCAAATAATCTATGGGCTTCCACAAACGGAAAAGACGTTTAGGCGGTCGCATGTAAATTCAAGTTCTATTTACAAGATCCAGCCTTACTCGGACGAAAAAATAGCCTATTTCTTCCAAGACGAACAAATAAATCAATATGTGGTATTTTCTTTAAAAATCACCTAGCTTTTGATATGTTGTATGATATAGATATCGTTATGTGTAGCTTCATGCATACATGCACGCATACATTCAAATGTATCTAGAATTTCCTCTCATATTACTGTATGAATGGTTATCATACGTAAGGCATCTCCTGACCAGTAATGGCACTTTCCAATGTCCCCATCATTATAGAAAATTTTTGAACGGCTTCCAGCATAAATACATCTTGTCCGCGTACGAAGCGTCCGAGGCGTATAGTCGAATCAAAGATGGCTGACGTGAAAAGCTCGAACGATGGCTTTTGTCAACAACGATTCACGCCAACGTCGTTATTGCGCATGCTCACTCTTCTCGCCGCGTCGACCCGTACTGCCTGCCTACATTACCCACCTTCTGAAAGCAAAAATCATTACCTTCCGCTGTTTGCTCAGTGTTACTCAAGATATGGAAGCACACAAATGTAGAGATTCAATAACAAGATATTCGATATGCAAGTATTGGATTTGCTTCGATAGGACTACATAATTTCGTGGGCTGCCAAACAGCTTTTTCTATTTTACATCTTGTTCAATCTGTACGCAGAGTTGGTTCGTATCATCAATCACATTTTAAGAATCGAGTGTTAGTAATGCCGTTTTTACTGGAACGATCCGGAGGAAAAAGTTAAGGACCCTTCTGCTCTAAATATGAATGACTGAAAAATATATATATAGGCTGTCAAATTCACTTTTATATTTAAAAATATATATTTATATAAGATAAAATTAGCCATGTATTTAATAGAAAACCTAGTGCATTGATAACATAGAGAACATTCACCTCTTTATATTTTATAATAGAATATTCAAAAAGAAACAGACACCTACTACCGGAACATTTTCTTCCTCATCAGTTACGAATCGAAAGTGTTATTCTTTTAAAAATTCCATCCCAAGTAAGGCAATAAAGCCACTAAGATGCAGTGGTTACTGAGCGTGAGAGAATGATAAAAGACACTACCAAGGAGAGAGAATAATAAAAGAAGAGGAATTAAGACAAGAGAACGATTGACATTGTGTTTAATTTTTTGAAGATCAAACTTGAGTGGAAAGCAATAAGGTGAAAGAGAGTTCCACAAGTGAGAAGTGCGATAGAAGAAACTGTTAGCATAGAACTTACGGTTTCATGGAGGCATTTCCTGCAAAATAATGAGACCTTGCCGCCAATCTACTTTTCTTTTTTATGTGTTATGTCCCCTCAGGACGTAAGCAATCATGGCTCTCCACAATTTCCTGTCCTTCGTATCTCTTAATAAATTTTGTCTTTTTGTTGTCTCCCCTGTTCTCCCTTCCTCCTTGTTCCGTCGTTCATTTAATCAAGAAGTATGTTATGCGTTGTTTCCCTTTTGACTTCAATGTGTCCAGTGAGTATCAGATTTTCCAAGCCCTCTTTCCTCATTATATGTCCTAGAAATGTCAAGTTTTTCTACCTTATGTTAAGTATAAGTTTCCTTTTTGTTTCCACTTTCTCTAAAATTTGCTCATATATTTGGTCCATGGTTTCCTCAGTATCCTTCTCTTCACTAGAGACAGATTTCTCTTCATCTTTGAAGAGATCGTCATATAGAAGGACAATTTGAAAGTATTTATAGAAAAGGCGCATAAAAGCTACGTTACGACAGTGAAAAATTCACTGAAGCCGAGATGCCATGTTAAGGCCAATATCATTGCAGATTATTTTTATCAAGAATCATTAAATATATAGCAGAAGCCCCAGACTACATTTGGCAAGAATATTCAAAGCATGTACGAATGGTAGACTTATAAATGTGTAAGATAGATTCTGGAAATGTTTGCCCAAATGTGTGTCGCGTATGGCACTTAACATTGACTCATTGTGGTGTTAGGCGAGGTACAATTCCATGGAGTTTCGTTCAGATTAACCTACAACATACTTCAGCTTCGCATATGAAATCCGCAAGATATTTTTTAGGGTTAGGAAAGAGAATTGTGGTTATATAACTTAACACTTTATTTAATTTACGGAGGTGTACTGTTCTCGTTTCACTGTCCATGTCTCTGGATATATCGTCGAGTATTTATTTACTCGTTCTCAGTTATTGCGCGCCTCATTTCTGTTGATTCTAAGTACCAAGTGTCCTGCCCAGATTTTCTGCTCTCAATAACTACGTCAACAAATTCAAGAGCTTTTAATCCACTAGGCTATTTGCCTTAAACCTACCTCCCTGCTGCCGAAGGCTATGGCTATCCCTAGATATAAACAAGAACATGATGAAGGCCTGAAGGTACAACGGCTGAAACGTTGTACTAATAACAACAAAGATGAGGACAATATGTAAATAAGCAAACAATGCTAAATCCTCGTCTCAGAAATTCAGGCGTCTCGGTAAATCAATTACAACTAAGTAGTGAGTTCGATACTTACTGGGTGCTCCAAACTTTCGGCCTTGTGCCATATCTAAGCTTTGCTTATAAAATCATTTTAGGCCCTATGGCTTAATGGTTAGCAAGGTCGTTTCCCTAGAAAAATTACGACTTAGTGAGTTCGATCTTCACTGGGTGCTCCATACTTTCGGCTTTGTGTCTCATCTAAGCTACGCTTAGAAACCCATTTCAAACACTTTAATGTGGTGTAATGGTTAGCAAGTTTGCCCACTAAACGCAACGGAATTGTATGTTCTCACTGGCCTTGTGCCACATATAAGCACAGCTTAGAAAATCCCCTCCTCAGAAATTCAGAAAAAAAACTCTTTTTTGTCTTCTGCAAACATTTTACCCATAATTTCAGAAAAGACACGTGACTTCAGTCAAGAGAATGACCTACTTGCTCAAATAGTGTGAAATCATGTCTCTTTACTGATCGTTTTTTTTTATCTTCTGTTTTCAACAACAGATTCTCTGTTATAACCCCATTTTCTCCTTGTGGAAAACGCGTCCTTCCGTCCATTTGTACAAAATTATCAAGTATTGTTTTACGAGACATGACCACTCAGGACATAGACTATTATGCTCTCCACAATTTCCTACAATTGTAGATCAAAGTAATGTTTTTCTCCATATTTTTCCTCTCCCTCCCTCTTCTTTCATCCATTTACACAAGCTCGTTACGTAGGTTACACTTTGTTTCCCTCTACCTCTCTTGCATTCAAGACGTCCTGTTAGTGTTAAATTCTCTAAGCCCTCTTTCTTCATTATGTGTCCCAGAAATCTCAAGTACCGTTTTTGGATTCTATGTATATGTATGCATTTTGTTCTCATCTACCTTAAAGCCTCCTCGTTGCTCACATGCTCCGTCCATTTTATTTTCAGCATCCATGTCTTCAATATATCATTGACGATAATTTGCAATAAATATCTATTATAAAGTAATTGTGAATTACTTTATAATAGACATTTATGGCAAATTATCGTCAATGATATATTTTAATGGAAACATTAATGACAAAAACGGGGGGATTGATTTCTTTTTTAGGACTTATCGCCCATTTGTGGATTATTTAAAACCGAAACATATTTTTGGTGGTTGTAAGAATATTTTGAGCGAGCGAATATTACATTAACAATTTTTGGAGATAACTATGATTTTTTCAGATGAAAGTTATACTATTTAAGCCATAGATGTAGGGACGATAAGACAGATTCATAACCTTCCCAATGGTATTTAGAACTCGACTGGAATTTGAACTCGGCTCTCCAATTTCTCATTCCCAGATGTTATCCGTTACACTATCCGAACATCCTACATAATGGTGGACAATTTGAAAAATATGTAAAATATGGTATTTTATGCAACTAAATAATTTCTTTTTAAATTAAACGTCATTTTAAATTTGAAAAAAGGATTATAAACCTGGAAAGGCAAGAAATTGAAACAATAGAATTTTATCAAGGAATCAGAAAATTAATTCATATTGGCGTGATAGATTTATGGTAGAAACGCGTAAGAATTTCAGGCATGTTTAAAGAATGGCAAAAGTGAAGATTTTGAAAAACCAAAAATTTGACTGAAAATAGAAAGAAAGAAAGAAAGAAAGAAAGAAAGAAAGAAAGAAAGAAAATAAAGAAAACAGTAGAATCTATATAATTATTGTGTCAGTGAACTTCAGACGGGGGTGCTAAGAGATAATTAGATGGTCGATGGAGGAAGTAGATTCGGAGGAAGTGATTTGCTGAATTGGGTGGATAAAGAATTGTAAAAGAAGTATGGCATGAAAAAGTTTCGAATATAAAAGAAGACAGAAAGAAAGAAAGCTTTCAATTAAAGAAGGCAATAATAAAATTAATAAAATTAAAAAAAGAACATATTGAAAAATAAAATAAAAGAAACAGACAAACACACAAATAAACAAAAGAAAGAAAGAAAGAAAGAAAGAAAGAATCCACAATGAAGAAAGAGTATAATTTGAACCAAATTCAAAATCATCGAGAAAGAATGAAAGAAAGAAAGAAAGAAAGAAAGAAAGAATGACTGACTGAATGAAAAGAAAGAAATTTTAGAATTTCAAAAGAGGAATAATTAGAAATATTGAAAAAGAAAGAATACAAAAATAAAGAAAAAGAATTAACGATAGAAAGAAAAGTCAGTTATGGAAGAAGAATATAATTACAAATAAAAGGGAGAAAATAATGAAAAAAAGAAACAAACAAAAAAGTATTTTAAAAAGAATTCTAACGAAAGGCCTCAACTCAGTTACAAAGAAAGGTAATATGGAAGAATTATGAGAATCGAAAAAAAAAATGTTAAAAACAACCTCAAATAATAAAAGAAGAGATGAGAGGGAGAAAAAGAAATCCTAAAATGAAAGAAAGAAAAATTTAAATTTCAAAGAGAGGATAAAGAAGACAAAGTTTGTGAATAATAAAAAGCAAAGAAAATGGGAAAAATGAAGATGAAAGACTGGAATATAACAAGAAAAAAAACAGCAAATAAACGAAAAACTCTGATGAAAGATATTTAAGAAAAATTGAATTAATCAGTCTTTTTAAAGAATGGTAAAATCGAAACGAAAAGAAAAGTCGAAAGAAGAATCTAGAGAGTCGATGAAAAATATGGAAAAAATAAAAAGTGAAGAAAAGAAGGAAAGACGGAAAAAAAGAAAAATAGAAAGGAAGAGAAAAAGAAAGAGTGAAGAAAAAGAATAATTAGAATTAAATATAAAAGAATATTAAGAAAGAAAGAAAGAAAGAAAGAAAGAAAGAAAGAAAGAAAGAAAGAAAGAAAGACTAATAATGAAGAAAGGGAATAATTAGAATTAAATGTAAAAAAATATTAAAAAGAAAGAAAGAAAGAAAGCATTAATCCACAATGAAGAAAAAGAGTTATTAGAACCCAAATCAATATTTAGAAAGAAAGATAGAATCAGTATTAAAAATGAAATAATTAGAATTAAAAGGTAAAAAAAATATTGAGAAAGAAATAAAGAATCAAAGAGTTGAAAAGCTTGAAATGAAAGAAAAAGGTATAATTAGAATTAAATGTAAGAGAATATTGAAAGAAAGAAAGAAAGAAAGTAAAATTCCTGATAATGAGTCAGAAAATAAGAAACAAAAATCAAGAAGTGTAAGGGAAAAAAAGCAATGAAACGACGTAATAAACAAACGATGAAAAAGAAAAAGTCGAGAGAAGAAAATAAATGTTGAACTGGAAATGATCGGCGGGAGGCAATAGAGAGCGAGTTAGATAATTAGAACTGGCAGACGACATACGGCCTCGACTACAATAGCGCTTTCCTTGCAGCGAAGCTTGTCAGCATTTAATGAGCTCCGTGTAATGCAATAGAAGAAGCTGACTGCTACTTAAAACTTAGCTGCTGGAGGGTCACAGCGATGACGTCATGGGTCCATCCTCATTGCGAACTCTAAAGAATTTCCCATTTCAACTGAACGTAAATTCAACCCGATGTCTCTTTGCACTCTGTCTGTCACCATCGCCATCATCTTTTATACGTCTTTTCCCAGACTGTGGTCTAGTGGACAGTGGCTTGGAATAAGAAATTGGAGAGTTCTGTTCAAATTCTAGTTCTTTACGTTCATTTGGGAAAGCTATGAATCCATCTTTTGCTATGGGTTAAATAGTAATTCTTGTGTCTGGAAAATTATTATCATTATTATAAAAAATATAGTTAAGTCAATATTCACCCGTAAAAAAAAAAAATATCCTTACAATCCCAAATGTTACCGTTTTAATCCACTACGATTCCGTAACAAACAAGTTTAATAAAATTCCCAGAGTGACTTCTTTTTCTGTGTGCCATGTCCGAATTACTTTTTATAAACAATACACCTTCCATGATTTTTCTCGATCAATCATTTCTGCTCACGAAATATATCTTAACGTAAACAAGGACAAAATATTACGAAATCGATTAAGTCCGACTATTTTTTTTATATATTTTCGGTTTATGCATTACTTTTATAGATATAATTTATTTAAGTAAATGCTTTGTTTTCTAAACAGTACCCGCCTGAACACACACACACACACACACACACACACATATATATATATATATATATATATATATATATATATATATATATATGAAGAAAAATATATACGGAAGAAACAAAACAAAAATCCTTATATACAATTATGCTGTTTTAATGTTAATATGTCAACGTCGGACGTTTCGGTCTAATAAACCATCTTCAGGACATATTCATAAATATAACATTATCAATACAACATATATTTATGAATATGTCCTGAAGATGGTTTATTAGACCGAAACGTCAGACGTTGACATATTAACATTAAAACAGCATAATTGTATATAAGGATTTTTGTTTTGTTTTTTCCGTATATATTTTTCTTCATACTGTCGGATCTATATCCATATATTTGCTTACACACACATATATATATATATATATATATATATATATATATATATATATATATATATATATATATTACTTCAAACGTTATTATAACGGATATCCCAAATATGTTACATGTCAGATAAGTCACAACGATTTGGTAAACCGTAACAAACTAGTGCAATTCCTAGACTTTCTTCTTCTTCTTCTTCTTCTTCTTCTTCTTCTTCTCCTTCTTCTTCTTCTTCTTCTTCTTCTCCTTCTTCTTCTTCTTCTTCTTCTATATGCCATGTATTTTTAGGACGAAGACGATTATGGCTCTCCACAACTTCCTGCCTTTTTTAGCCCTTATTAAATTTTGTGTTTTTGCTATATCTCCTAATCTCTGTTCTGACAGCGCTTTACTTAATCTCGTTACTTTCCTCTGCCTCTATTTCTTACTTTTACCCTTTTATCAACTCGCCCCAAGCAAGGCGATAATGCCACTAAGACGGCTAAAGGGTTACTGGAAGTGAAAGATACTGGAAAGATTTTAAACGCAACCGGAGACCCGACCCTAAACAGGGAACAAAGGATAAACCTCTACTCCTGTTCAAAAAACCAGAAAGGTGTGTGAACCGGGCGGTAGGCGAATCTATCTCCTCCAGTTGAGGAAAGTGAGAGAAAAAGAAGAAAAACTTTTAAATTAAAATTTCACTGTTCAAATAGAGACGTTAGAATTATAGAATTAAAGTAGACTTTAAAAGGAACCGGAAATCAAATCCTAGCCAGGAAAGAAGACCGGAAAGGAGTGTGAACCAGACGATAGGTGAACCTATCTACTCCTGTTTTGTTTTCAATATGTACTGTGAGTGTCAAATTTTCCAAGCCTTCTCCCAGACTGTGCTTACTTAAAAAAGCGCCATTTCCAGTGTCTTCGTAGGTTTTTTTTTTTTTTTTTTTTTTTTTTTTTTTTTTTTTTTTTTTTTTGTTTTTTAATTAAAACAGCTTCTTCTCACTAGAGATGTTATGGTGTGCAAGATTAGATTTTTAGCTGTTGTTCCATGGCGACCCGTCTACGCTTAGCTCCATCTGGGACAAGACTATTGTAGTGAGTCCCGATAAAAATAAGAAATAAAAATAAAATATATAAACAAAAATAAAAAGAACTAAAATGAAAATAAGGCATTTGCGCTTTCCTTTAAAACTCTAAACTTCTCTTTCTACACTTCTTTCAACTTACGAGAAGGCAACCCTCAAATAAAGAGAGTAAGAAGAAAAGACTGAACCCGACCAAAAACACCTGAAGTTTGCAGGAAGCGAATTTACTTGTGTGACTGAAAAATAACAAAAATCAGGAAGGCTCCACGCATAACTTCTGTTATAAAAAAAACTGAAAAGAAAGGAATTCCAGAAAATAAAATAATTTGGCCAATCAAAAAAAAAATGACACGAAGAGACTTTGAGTCAGCCGAAACCATGTTCGCGACAAATGCTCGAATTTATTCACAAATCTAAAAATTTGAGACCTCTGGGCCAGAACCAGAGGTCTACCAGCACGGAGAGTGGAAAAACGACACCAGGAGATGACGGAACAAAAGAACGCAGCCATGCATGACATGAGAAGTATCAATTAAGATGTCAGCGGCGACTGACATTACGCGCTGTTTCTGGGCCGAAAATACCACAGTAGATTGACGCTGACCTAATTTCTCACATTACTACTACTCCTACCACGATCTGTCTTCAAACTACCAAAACGGTCATTTCTCCAGACTGCTACCAATATCTGCCTTATTAAAGAAATTTTTGCTACACCGAATACCAAAGGACTCATTCATGACTCTAAAGAAAATAAAATTTTAAACCTTCAATCAGTTCGTTTGTATTCCCAAAGTTACCGATAAAATAATTATCATACGTCTACCCACACGGACAACGAAATGAACTTATATACCATACTAAAATATATAGACATCTAATGAGGATCAATCTGTCTACAAAATTTTAAGAACTTTAATAATTATGTTTCTTACAAAAGCAAAATACATATCGGTAAAAAATAATTATAACTTTGGTACCTAGTTTCCAAATATACGCGTCTGCTAAGATGGCTAGCTAATCATTTTTGTAGCCGCCTACTCAGGCTGATTTTTTTGTATGTTTTTTAACTTCCACAGAAACATATCGTTCAGATTGTAACTCAGCACACCTTAGTAGTAGTTGAACAATACCAGTACACTCAAATCCTGGAGGCTTACGGCCTCACCACGTTAAAACACGGGTTCTCGTAGATCACCGAAGGTAAGCACCGTCTAGTCTGGTCAGTACTTAGATGGGTGACCGCTGGGAAATTAGGCTGGGTGTGCGGATTGTGTAATAGATGGAAATGGCACGGAAATACTGAGCGGAGAGCGGAGTCCCAATTATCGTTGTGTTTGTTATATTCACCTACGCGCAAATACTCTTTGGAAAAATATAAATCCATATCTCCCCTCAGCTATGGGTTAATTTGTAATACTCGTATCAATAAACCATTATTATTCCCCAAACATAAAATTTTAAAATATTTTCTGGCTTTAAATAACCTGCGAAACCGTAAAAATCAATCAAGCAAGCAAACCATCGATCACGATATAACTTTGTGCTAGTTTTGGCTAACCGGTTTCACTCCCATGGTTTGGCATAAAGAAGTTTTTCAGTCTCTTGCCAAGAATGGTGCTCTTGGTGAGATTCGAACCCGGATCCTGTGGTTGGGACAATAACGTTCTAAGATTTAGAGAAAGAAATTACCTCAACTGAAGGACGAAAAAATTATAAACCTAATATTTACACTATTTATATTTGGATTATTGTCCTCATCTTTGTTGTTCTTATCACTACGTTTTGGTCGTTATGCTCTTCGACTTTCCTCCGGTGTATATCGATCGGGGTAACTTTCAAGGAATCTTGAACTAAACCCCCTTATTTAATCCACGGGTGTAGACGGTTTTCTTTTCATTGCCTATATCTAGGGATATCATCTAGTCGTTCCACTGAGTTCTAGTACACACTGCCCGACCCAAAGATTGAATCCACAACCCCTATGTCACAAAATTCGTGAACAAACGCTTTAATCCACTTATTTTTTGTTTTAATTCACTCATTGTGGATTCTTTAAAATCCAGTTTTAGTGTATTTATTGCTATTCTCCCATAGTGTAAATAATGATAACATCCTACAAGAAATTTAGACAGAAGCTACCTCATGACATATCTTCTCCCTTAATTAGAACAATAGGACCTATATAACATGGTGTGGAATCTAAGAGTTACTAAAGTTGTTCTGTAGTTATATCTATCCAGGCATGCTTCACGGCTGATAATAAATATTGACTCCGGCTCCAGGAAATGTAATGAGATCTACAATACAACCCATATAAGCCCTTGCAAACGAATGCATGAAAATCTGGATGTTTTTAAGTGTACCAAGATACCTTGTCACTTTCCTTTTCGGATGATCATTAAAAAAATTCAAACCTTGTTACCGTATATATTCTCCATTCTCCCTCTCTATTGAACTCGTGTATATTTCTTTCCTATCTAACCCAGGGATTGAATATGAGGCTTTCAAGAAGCCATAAAAGATTTACCGGTACTTTATTATCCACTACCTTTGTCTCTGAAAAGAATCAAATTCTTCGCATTTATATTACAGGTATATATTTCATATATTCGTATATATTTCATATATTCGTATATATTTCATATATTCGTATATATTTCATATATTTGTATATGTTTCATGTATGGGAAAACAATAAACAATTTTTATTTCTTTTGTGTATATCAGAACAATTTTAGGAAGATCTATGACAAATTTGATTTTTTTTTCTTGTAACATGTTTCATCCATTAGGACTTCATCAGACTAAAGTGATGTTTACGTTGATGTAATTACACATGGGCATGAAAAAGAGCAGCCACTAAAATGTTTAATTTTATATATATAAATATATATTAATATGTGCTTGGATATTTAGTCTAGCCGATTACATTTAATTTCTTTTTTTCTTTTTGTTTATGTATTTACCACTTTCATAAAATTTTCCCACATTGTGATACTAGTAGTTCTGTCTGCCAAGATCCCTATATGGGACAT